AGTGCTTTTCCGGGTCTGTCTTGGGGGGATCCTTCCAACCCGTCCATCCATCCGTTGGTTGCTTTGTTCATTCATCCGTTCACCATTTGTCCAGCACTTAGGGCGAGGCAGGCACCGTTCTAGGCGCTGGGGATCCAGCAGTGAAGGAGACAGACAAAAACCCCTGCCTCCGGGAGCTGACATCCGGTGGTTACTTCTAGAGAGTCGACAAAAGCAACGCGTCACACGCTTCCTGTGTCCAACAGCGAGGAGTCCTCCAGCTGGGAGAAAAAGTTGAGCTGTTACCGGTTTGGGGAAGGGGGCCCGGGAGCAAGGGCACGCTGCCACAGGACTGGCAAGGGGCGGGGGGAACAGGTGCGGCGGGCAGCGCGTGCAGGACTGGATCCCGTTCTTACGAAAATTTCGAAATGTTGCCCGTCACGGAAAGTTTTTCATTAATTTCGGTTTGTTCAAATATTGCCTTATGCAAATCAAAACTGCATCGAGATACCGCTTTTCACCCACCAGAATGGTTATTGAGTTTTCTTTTTTCCAAAAGGGACAACAGCGAGTGTTGGCGGCGACGTGGAGAAATCGACAGCCTCGCGCACGGCTGGCGGGGAGGGACGCGGGGGGGACGTGACATGGGGCAGCGCCGCGGGGGAAACAGTTGAGCGGCTCCTCGGAAATGAAACGTAGAATTACCATGGTGACCCAGCAGTTCCACTTCTGGGGATCCATCCGAGAGAAAGGAAATTAGTCATCCGCGTGAAGACTCACGCACAAGCGTGCACAACAGCGGGACTGACAACAGCCAAAAAGTGGAATCTCCCGGAGTGTCCATCAATGGACACACGGATGCAAGCACGTGGTCTGTCCAGGCAGGGACACGGCCCTCGGCCACAAACAGGAGCGAGGCGCCCGCACCCGCCACCCCGAGGACGAACCCTGAACACAGGACGCCCAGGGAGGGAACCAGACACGAGAGGCCACACGGGGCGTGAGTCCACATGTGTGAAACGTCCAGAACAGTCTCATCCACGGCCAGGAAGGGGGTTCGTGGGGACAGGGGGCTGAGGCATGGGGATGGGGAGTGACTGCTGATGGGCACAGGGCTTCTTTTTTGAAGTGACAGAATGTTCCGGAACTAAAGGTGATCATTGTACAACGTGGCGAATGGATTAAATGTCTCCCGTGGTAAATTTTACGTATCTTTTACCACAATAAAAAAAAAAAAAAAAGTTGCATGAAAATAGTGTTTAGCGTGTAGACTGAGATTTTTGGACTGAGACTGAAATGTAGACTGAGATTTTTAGACTGAGACTGAAATGTTATGCCTGAAGAAAGTGCCTCACTCAAAAGTGCACTTGTCCTAGTCCCAGCCCTGCCAGAATTAAATAGGGAAGTCACAATGAGGCCTCATTGAGAAGGTGACCTTTAAGCCAAGGCTGGAAAGAAAGGAAAGAATGAGCCAAAGTGGCATTTGGGGATGAGCATCCCAGGCAGAGGAAGTTGCCCATGCAAAGGTCCGGGGGCAGGACCGGGCCGGGTGCGTTGGGGCCCGTGTGGCCGGAGCAGAGGGAGTGAGGGGGAGAGAGGGCGGAGGGCAGGGCAGGTCGGGGATGCTACGGTTCGAGCAGGGCCTTGGGGGCCGTGGGGAGGACTCGGCTTTTACCCCAGGGAGATGGGAGCTCTGGAGGGCTATGGGCAGAGGAAACACAAGGCTTGAGCCAAGTTTTTAAAGCCTATTAGCTCTGCAAGGGGAGGGAATTCCATCTCCCCCCCCCCCCC